CACTTAAAAAAAAAGTCGACAAAATACATTGAGGCAGGAAATATTTCGCAACATATATTACGCACAGTATCATTTAACGCTTTTCTAATACAACGGAAAAAAATAAAGCTTAAGAGGATTTTTCGGACGTAAGATTACAGGTTATTTATATGTAATTTTAGATTTCCATTTGGGGTTGTAAAGCTCTTCAATATAATTCCCAATATCATTTTTAATTCTGAAGTGATTTCCAGGAAAGGATTACCATTTTTTTTTTTAAGAACTCTTATTGACGTGATAGAAACGGAAACTCACATACAATGAAATAAAGTCTACAGTTTTACGTAAATTTGAAACAAACTTAGCAAAAATATTTTACTAAATACAAGAAATTTTTTATTAATATACGGGAGATATCTGAAAATTTTACTAACATTTTATTTTAAGAAAGTATGCATTTTGTATTTGCATTTGCCGTATCACGCGCAATTGTTTGTAATGTAGAAACAGCATAGACAAACATTATAAAATTGTAAGATAACAGTGTTGTTTTTTTAGTGTGTGTTTACATTTTGCTTCATTCCAACTCAAACGGACAAAAATAAGAAATATTTTACTGAGAAACATTTGACTATTTTTTATAAATTGAGGAAATCTTTTTTATAAAATATATATCGTGTAAACTTTTAATTATTGTTCTTGTATCTTTAATACATGCCTTTAAGCATTTTAACAGTGTTTTCAATACTTTTTTTTTTCAATTTGTTTCCGAATTTAAATTCTATATTTGGATTAAAAAAAATCTCGTTGCTTAACCGTGATTCGAGATCACAAGGTTCGTTATCTGAGTATAATTGTTAAAATAAGCAGTCAGTCAATCCATAAATTAAAATATTTCATGATTTACACGGTAGTAGAAGTAATATTTCCGATTTTCGTACTCAATGAAAAAACCACCAGGGAGAAATTTTTTTAGTATGTTTTTTATTTTTCTTGTTTGATATTTTCTTTCCAAAAATTAATTTTCTAGAAACAAATAACCGTATTTATTCGAATGTAAACCGCAACCCTAAATTCTCAACACATTTTTGTGAATAAAAAATAGTGTAAAATGATGGTTTTTTGATAGATGTTCGTATTTACGAAAAATTTTAAAAAACTTATATACATATATATACATATATATTACAATTCAAATAAATAAAACATTTTTATGTCCTTTCTAAATACATATACCTCATAGCCTCTTTCTTCTATATAAAGGCTGTTTATTTTTTAATTTTGGGATTTTACTGTTTTAATTACTTGAATATTTAATAGATATGTTAGCTTGAATGATAATAGATATAAACGGCTTTATTAAAATAGCAAACAAAATCAAAATAAACCTTCAGTATCACATTTTCAAAGTATTTCAATTTATAATTCATGAAAAAATTATACATATAGATGGATAAATTTTTTATTTATTTTACTAATACATATTAGCTATGATATGTGTTATATTTATTTTTTTTCTGATAATTTCTTTTATTTACTTTTAAATGAACTTTTGAATCATTTATTTCTTTACCGACTTTTTTTAATTTAATTTGCAACATTAGAAAAAAAAATTAATTCAATAAAAAAAAAATTTTATATTATTTTTGACTAAAAAGAAATTTATAATTGCAACAGTAAATATATATTCAATGAGGAGTTGATATTTTAAATTTAAAACGTGGAGTCGCAAGTTAAAGTTGACTTACTCGCAATAATCATGTCTTTAATTAAATCCAAGTGCAGGTAGAGGGGGAAATTTTAATTATATTTGCAATTGCACTTTATTATATTAAAATAAACATATGAAAATAAATGAAAAAAATATTTGCAAGTAATGTATTTAATTAAAGAGATTCTCAAGGTAATATATCATATATTCACTCGTAACGAATAGAACTGGGAACGTTGATGCAGAGTGTTAACACCTTTTTTTTTAAAAAAAAAAAACTTATTTGAATAAATAAATAAATAAAATAATTAAGTCTAAGAAAGTTAATCTTTTATTCTAAGAACTAAAACGTCAGTTGTTAACAAAAATGTTCTTGATCCAAATTAGTTGATTTAAGCCAGGTTTGGATTTTTTGTGAATATATTTTTGCATTTTGAGAAGGAAAAAATATTCTCACATCTCTTATAGAAATCGACGTGAGAACTTTGCTCTTTTAGGATATCTTTACACACAATAAATGTAATACTCGCAACAACTGGCGAAAATAGAAATGTTTATATTCACAAAGATACATTTTTCTAAGATCATTTCAAAAATTTAATGTGTGACTATAAAAAAAAGAGCTCACCCAACTCAACAGAGAGTGATTCCAGCTTTGAAAACGTCCAGCTTTGAAATTTAATCAAGGATTTAAATTTCAAAAATTAAAGATGAACTAAGTGTTGATCGTTTTTTGTTTCCGAAATACATTGCTGAGATCAAGATTTTATGTAAAAACTTTACAATTTCTTCAAATACTAAGGTAAAAATGTATTGTTACTGTAAATGAGGTGTGGGTGTGCTTTAGGGATTATAATTTTAAAAAACTACTATTTTCGTAAAAGAAAAGAGGAAATTTTGGAATTTTGTTTTTAAAAAATTCTAAAAAAGTTTCTAACTAAAATGCTATAATAACAGAGATAATTTCTCGTATAACGGAATACTAAAATTAAGAAGAGTCGGAAATTATACGTTGTAGTAAATTCTATATAATAACCAAACAATGTTTTGATCTTAAACAGTAAATCCAGGTATGTGTCCTGAAATACTAGATAAGCAACTAACCATCGCATAGCAGCTGGAAATGAAAAACACCAAAATAAGTTGTTTTTTTTTTTTTAAAGAGAGAAAAAAGAAATACTTATTTCGAAACAATGCTGATTACAGGGGGAATTGCGATGATATTGTTACACTATAAATTGTTTGCGGGAGGGGAACCTCACGAAGCATCATGAAGAAAAGTGATTGTTTTTATTGAAAAAAAAAAGTAAACGAATGTAAAGTTCAAATACTGATAGTTGAATTATCAGAAATCGACAGCCGTAGGCTAACAACTGTGCATTAATTACTGGTCTGCTAACAACTGTGCATTAATTACTGGTCTGCTATACCCCATACATTTCAATTGGCGAAAGGTGCGTGGACTTAGCTGGACAAGAGTATCAACAACATGAAGGTAATCCAGAGATACACGAACCGAATGAGGTTTGCAATTATGTTATTGGAAAATGATCTTGTGATCTCAAATCGTTCAACTGTTAAAGTTATACTCAAGATGAACAGAGGCCTTTTGGCAAGAGATATCACTACACACCATCACACTGAAGGCAATGGTTATATACTTGTATAAAACAATTCGATTACTGTCCCTTCACACATTTATCGGATGGCCATCTGCTGAAAGACTGACCCATCGCTGCACACTAGCCGATGACAGTAATCATATTGACACCACTCTGAATATATCTGCCTATGCTGTGGAATACAGATGAGAGAGAGAGAGAGAGAGAGAAGGGGAAACGTCCTGAGGGCCCGCTAGCGCTATGAGAAAGTAGAAGGTACCACGACTATGGAAGAGATTGTAGGATGTAGCGATCATCGGCTCCGTCGGGGTAGTTCGGGCCTGCCGCACCTTGCTTTCGTACAAATTTAATAATATGCATTCTTAGTATTTGTATACGAAATAATGGAAGGCTATTATAGTTTTTTTAAACAATGTGTGTATTTCGATTTATAAAATTTGGTTTACATTAACCGGTTAAAATATTTCAGTTTGTTTATCGTAAAAGCATGATTTTTCATTCATTTTCATTTGACTATTTTCTGTTGACTTATCAAATGCAGAATTAATCATTCATTTGTAAAAAAACCTTTAAAAAATCATAAGTTGCACTTTTTCCTCTCATTTCAGTATTTAAATCATCAATCAATATTTTTGTTTAAATTTTAAAACTTTATGTGCTTTTATTAATTTAATCCTCCCTTTCATGCATTATTGTTAATATTTATGTATAAAAAGCTATATTTTTCAAAACAAAAAAATTGCTTAGAAAAATATCAGGAATACCTCTTTTAGGTGCTACAGCTAAATCAAAATAATAATCGTAAATTTTTTTCATAGATATTTTAAATCAATTTCTAACATAAATCCAAAATAAGAAGTAGCTTTCATTTTTGTTATACATTGCATTTTTTTTCCACAAGACCTCTGTCTATTATTAAAATTATTTAATAATTGATACTTAGTCTTTGCGCATTTTGCCTTACCTTCCCAAGGCAATCCCGGTACTGTAAAATACAATACTAGTACTAATTTTGTATACCTAAAATCCACGTCCATGCACTTTTTTCAGTAATTGTATCTTAATTTTTTTTAAAGACGTCAGCGTTACCGTCGGACATGAAGTATTTATATAGATGTCAATTTAAACACAGATTGCAAATAATAATATTTTTATGCAGCTCATTTTAAGTTCTCAGTTAAATTATTTTTTAATTGTGTCTACCAAAAAAATCATCTAAATATTTCACGTCTGGAGAGAGAGAGACAACTAACAGCAACATTAGAGCCTCTGAAAAATTTGATTGATTACTGGATTCTGTTACGATTTTATACTGTTCTTTAAAATATATCAATTACTTCCAACGAACGCGAGCTTTTCAAAGCCTTGCGTATACAAAAATCAAGAGTTTCATTCAATTCCTACTATAGTTCACACTCTCCATATATATATATAGTCAGTTTTCAGTTTTGATCATGTTTATTCATCTCTCTCTTGTAGAGAAATTTTGACTGTATATATATATATTGTTAAATTTTCAACCGTTAATAAAATACTTTTTATTCATCCTCTCAAGTTCAAATACATTTTTTTAAACTTGTAGTGGATGACACTTATCAATTCATTAATTCTATTTTATTAATGAATAAATAGTAACAAACAAAAATAATATTTCAACACCCTTTATGAAAAAGAAAATCGCTCGTTGTGTCCCTGTAGCGCAAAGGATAGCCCGTTGCACTTCTAATCCAAAGATCGTGGGTTCGAATTGCACCTGGGATTTCCTAATTTCTGAGAATGTGATTTCTTTATACTATATTATTTTATAGGAATAATTAAATTTATTAATGAATAAATAGAGTAACAAACAAAAATAATAGTTTATAGAAATTATATATAGAAAGGAAAATCGTTTTCTATTGTGCCACACTTAATATTGTCATTCTGTCATATGTATATACATATTTACATTAATTGTAATTATTTAACAAAAAGTACTAAAATAAAATTTTCTTTTTTGTTGACCTAAATAGGTATTGACTTAAAAACTTTTTGTGTGTGTATTACTCGTTTTTTTTGTTACAAATCGAAACAACAGAAGCTACATAATTGGAACCGTCAATTTTTGCATATTATAATCATGGGAACTAAAAATAAATGAAATTTAAAATTCTGACAACATATGAAGGAAATAATGTACAGGGCAAAATGGGGTGAATTTTTAAAGCAATACGAGTACTCACCGGTTAGTTCAGGACTGAAGTAATGATAATGGAGAGGTGCAGTTGGAGCTGGAGTTGTTGCCGCTGTCCAGAGGGTGCTTGGTCCAGCGGGGACGGCCACGGGAGATCCTCCCGGCAGTCGACCGGAAACAGAAGCATGCAGAGCTTCTCCGGACGAAGAATCCCTCCCCAGGATAGAATCAATATAGAATGATGGAGTAGTTCGAGCAGGGGAGCTCTGTGGGGTAGGTGAGCATGTTTTGAAAAGATCCGGCATCAAACAGTAGGAATAGGGTCCATGAAAAGTAGAACAACTGTGTAACATGATCTTGTTCAACGCTTAGGAATCCATGTGCACATGAATAAATTATCCAATAGATATTTTTGTGTTGGTAGATTTTATTCACTTTTGTAGGTTTTCAGAAATATTCAGTGATCCAAAAAAATTGTTTCATTTTTCCCCCCCTTTCGAATGAGTTGTGATGTTTATACTCTATAAATAGAAACAAGGTTTCTCGATCCAATGCATATGGCTTATGTAAAATCTATATGCTTTTAATATTGTATCATAAGTGCTATTGGCACAATCCTGTTGAAACTTTATTGAAGCCCTTTATAATCTATCTTTAGAATGAAATTCAGATTGCAGCAACTCTTATTCGCCAGTAAGGTAAATTTCAAGTAATGTCACACAAAAGGCGAAAATTCACTGAAACAAATTCGAAATCTCGATCCATAGTATTTGAACGATCCCTTTGGTGCGCAGGCACTTCCACAGCAAACGAGAAGCAGACGATAAATGATGTGAATAAACATACATCCCGCAGCATGCGTTGTCCCAACTTCACCTGAAGAACGATCGTCGAGCGGCCTTCGCGCTCATAAACCGATTAAGACTTGCACTACAAGCTGTGTGTTGATTGGTTCCGCAGAGCCGTATGCGATTGGTTAAGAGTTCTTGTGTAAACTCCCCTTTGATCCGCCTCCCGTCCAATAGAATTAGAGCGATTTGAAGTTTGGGTGATTCTTAGTTTCTCTCTCCGATTTTGAGCGAAAGGTCCGAGGATAAGTTTTAAATAGATCATGTAAGGAATTCTAGACAAGTAGGAATTTATTTAAATGGATCCTAAGTCGTCGTGCTTCGAAGCATTTCAAGTTTAAAGGAAGAGTTCAATCGGAACCCTAGTGCCCATAAGATTTTGTATACCCACATTAATGCTTTAAATTATAGGAAGCAAAACATTTTTTTAAAAAATATTTTCTACTGTAACTTGTCTAAGAACTCTCCTGAACTATTTTTCTTTTATTTTATGGAATTCTTGAAAAGACTTGAAAATAATTCGTTAAAAGCCATAAAAAGAGGGAGGGTCCATTTTTTAATATTTGTCTATTAATACTTCTAAATTTTCATATCTTTTTAAAAATGTAATATATTTAATTAATAGACATAAAAGTATGATAATAAAAAAGGAATTCTACCTTTTAATCTTAGTTTTTTAAGTTTAAAAAGATTAAAAGGTGATATTATTAACTCTTCTTTTTCTATAGTGCTTGAATAGGACGCTTATAATCAAAGTGACGGACTGTTTGGATTCAAGACATTTCTTCAAACTCTTAGAGAAGCGTTTGAAATATTTGGCACCTCCAAACCTATATAAAACATGCTTGAATTCACACTTCCCAGCAGTGTCGATTTAAGCTCATTTCAGGCCCTGGGCGCAGAAGATCTACAGACCCTCTTAGTACCGAACGATCGAAATTTATAACCATAAAATTTGGTTAAGTCCAGCTCATCTGGGACCCTGGGCGCCGGCTCCAAGGGCCCAATGGATAAACCGATACTGCTTTACCTGCCGGGGAAATTTCAGTGACTTGGGCATTTAGCAAACCACTCATAAGTCAAAAACGTATTTTTGATTACCCTAGATCGTATATATGTAGATATAAGCGTTTCTTTAAGAAAAAAAATTCTTTTTAGATATTTCTCTTTTGATTATAATATTCACGAAATTTGCAAAAATGTTTTCAGCGTACAGCAGAAACATTATACTTTGAGATATAAAATTTAAAGGTTGTACATATTTAATGGAATATATGCATTAAAAGGAAATATTGTTCTGACTGTGGATGTGTAAACAAATTAATACTTTTATTTCATAATTTTGTATCCAATAACATAGAGCCTTATTCAATTCCTAATATTAATTCACTCTCTCCCTATATATATATTTATTTATTTATTTTATATACCTCGTTCACAAATTTTCAATCGGAAATAAAATACATTTAGTTATCTATTCAAGTTCAAATACAATTTTTTAAACATGTAGTGGATGGCACTTGATATTAATACAGTTTTTTTTTTCAAATATTAATTCACTAATTTAATGTAATTAATAAATAAATAGTAACAAAAATAATAGCCCAACACCATGTGTACGAGGAAGGAAAATCACTCTTTGTGTCCCTGTAGCGCAATGGATAGCACGTTGGGCTTCTAATCTAAAGGACGTGGTTTCGAATCCTACTCGGGATGGCCTAATTTCTGAGAATGTGTTTTACAGTTGAATAAATAGTAAAAAACTTAATAATAGTCCAACATCATATATAGAAAGGAAAATTTCTTTCTGTTTTGCCAATTTATTTTGTGATTCTGTCATATGTATATACATATTTATATTAATTGTAATTATTTAATAAAAAGTGACTAAATTAAAATGTTTCTTTGTTGACCAATGTAGGAATTGACTTAATTTTTTTTATATTACTTGTTTTTATATATCAACTTATTTGACCAGAATATCATAAAAATTCAGGTAGATTTTGGCATTAGAGGGAGATCTGTATTTGTGTTAATTTCTGAAAATAGTCGAAAAGTAACGGGCACATTCTTTCAATACCTAGATTCAAACTGATGTCAACACTTTTAACAAGCAGTTAGATGCATTATACAATCGCTGCAACCAAACCATATCACCCCCCCCCCTTCTTCTTTAAAAGCCTCAATTCCAGGGGTGGTCATTAAGTCGGTCACGATCAACTGGTGGACCGCCAAGACATTTTGGGGTGACCGCCTAAAGACTAGCAATTAGTGACTTTGTACCGAAATATTCAAGATTGTGGCGAATAGTATGCAGATTAAGTCTTCTGCTGACTGTAACTACAAAAACTAACTTTAAATTAAATTATTTTATTTTTTAACATATTTTTAATTGTTTGATAATAAGTACTTCATGTGATATTATATTTTGGGTTATTATTATTATCTTGCGTTTTGCTTTAAACGCGATTTTGAAAGTGTGAGTTTATTTTTAATTTAATTTTAGTTGTGTAGGTATAAAAAAAAGCACATACCGCATTGATTAATAAGTTATAATAAATATTACTGATATTTTCCTTATCTCAAAACACCTTTGCCACTGCGTGGACCGCAACATCTTGAAAAAAGTCGAAGTAACCCGAACCCTGGAAAAGTTTGCCCGCCCCTGCTCCATTCTATCCTTCTCTACTGTACCATCACTCCATCTGGCGGGGGACAAGTTTATCACGCACCTAGCTGTTCAAACAACGCCCCACTTATGTTCAAAACAGTCATTTTTAATCAGTAATGACGAGAGACATAATTGACCTGAATTACATAAAATATTGCTATTATTCTAGATCAGGGGTGGCCAAGAGAGTGCCAATATCTGATTAAAAAATTATGCATGCCATTCAGTAACGCACACAAAAAATTTTCAGGGGGGGGGGGTCCAGGGTCGAAAGTCCCCCAACTCGTATCATACCTCATGACAACACCAATTGATTCTTCTGATTAAAACAGTAAAAAATAAATTTTTGAATTAATAATTAATTGTTAATTAATAAAGTAAATTATTAGTTACAAGTACTGAATTAAATTTTACGTTATTTATATACAGGATTATCATCAATCGAAAAAAACTCAAGGGCTTTGGGGGGTGCCTGGACCCCCAGGACATCCCCCTTGTGTTCGCCACTGATGCCCTGTTATCAATTCTCTTCACTTCTAACTCACTAACCTTCTTAATGCGCGAACAAGAACTATGTATAATAAACTTAATTTGCACATATCACGTTTTCTTCTTAGAAGAAGATTGATAAATTTTGCTGGTCCCAAAGAATACCCAAGAGGATTATTTGTTGGAGATCGCATATAGATACGTCATAACTTGATGAATGATTCAACATGTCATACGTATTTTAAACAATAACACAGACTTCTCGCAGCTTCAAAGTGTGGCGACGTTAATAAAAGCAATAAATTAAAACACTGGTTTCAATTGCTTAGAAAACTAGTGCATGCCACAGGAAAAAAATTAGTTAAAATTGGAATTAACTTATTTTCTAATTTCCAAAATTCGAATATACAGGGTGTTCCGAAGCTTAACGATAAGCGGCCACGAGGGGAAAGGGGAGATCATATCTGTTCTGGGAAAAATAATAAAAATTTCCTTAGCGCTAAGTTAAGAGAGGACGAGTATGTTTGTGAAAATGTAGAAAATTTGCATTTTTCATCACATTATTAGCTACTGTGATCAC